TATGATTGCACAAAAGGACAAGGCAACAATGGTGATTAGGAATACAAATCAAGTTATATTCTAAATTCTGATTATGTTCTGCTCTTGGCTTGGCACGAAAGACAACCCAAAAGAATTAAAAATGTTCTCAGGAGTCTGTTCATTAGAAGGATCCTTTAACAAGTTTCAACAGTTCCATATTTATCTTCATCTAAACAGAGACGGACCGAAAATGTTATCTATCTTTTTTTTAGGACACATTATTGAAAATGTAATTGAATTTTTATAGAGTTCAAAAGAAACAGAGATAATTTATTTTTTCCAAATTCCAAATGTCATATTCGATGAATATTTCAGTACTATTTTCAAGTACTACCTGCACACAGACATATTACTTATTAGAATCCTTCTATAAGAATACCTCCAAGAGCTGCACAAAATGAACACCACAGTTCCAAAGGAAATGGAGGACAGGCATCATCAGAGCCGTCTCCCACAAAGATCATCGGCCCCAAACTTGTTGGTCTATTTAAAATTTTATTAGAGGGTAAAATGCTTTATGTAGCTTTTATGCTGGAAGGACAAAATTATGTTCCAAAGGTCCTCATGGTTTCCAAGGTTAGTACGGCAAAATCAGGTCTCTTGCTTTACAGGAACTTCATGCATGTCGATGTTAGGTAAGGATAGGACTGGTTTGGCCTCTGATGGTCAAATAGTCTTCCAAAGAACTAACAGCTAAATTACTAATTGAACAAGGTATTGAAGGTTAATTAACTCCTATGGGTCTCTACCTCCTCCCTTATCAATGGAACTTATATTCAGGAAGAGTAGAAAAATTGACAGCAGGTATGTTGTTTAATGGGAGACAGCATAAGTAACGTATCTGACGTCCTGGGCTATTGGGCAATGGTGATTCAGTGGGCACTCAATGTGTGTCAACTGTGAAGTTCTGAGGAAGGGTCACTGGACCCAAAACGTTAACTCTGATTTTTCTTAACAGATGTTGCCAGACCTGCTGAGCTCTTCCAGCAACTTCTGTTTTTATTTGTGAAGATTGATGATTTAGTTTCTTTAAAACAAGACATTGAGAGTTTGAATTTCCATCTAAGTATTTGAGTGCTTTGAACACACTGCACAGTTGCAAATCCTTTACAGGTCCTACCTTATCATACTGGTTTATAAGGCTGTCTATCCCTACTTGTATTTAGTGTTGTATGAGACAGTACCAAAACAGGAAAAACAATGCCAAGAAGGAAACTGCTCAGGTAAGAGAATGAGTTAGAAAGGGATGATAAAAGGATTATAGAAGAGAAACAGAGGAATAAGAAGAGCAATATACCATATATACAGACAAACATATAGAAATCTGTGTGGACGTTAAAAATATATATTTATAGATGGATGCAGAATGTTTTCACTGCTTATCCATTATTTATTTCGAATTATATATGTAAATCAATGTTGTTGTTGAACTAACATGGAAACGTGTTCTGTCACACAAGTACCTCAACATCAATCTATAGTGGTCATGAACAATTTTAAGAAGATCTATTTCCAAGATCACAAATATAGTGGAACCCAAGAGACTTATATCAAGTAGTATTGAAATAAAATGGCTTATGATAATTTCCAGTCTTTTGTGACTCATGGATTTGAAGAAGAAAAATAGAAAACCTCTACAACTTTAGACAAATTGGAAGGATTGTATAATGAATAATTAATTATGTTATACTATGAATATTAAATAGTCTTTAACAAAAACCTTGTTCCCTATCAGGATCAAAGTAGGGTCACTTATTGTATAATATTAGATAGAGCTATGGTTAAGATCTCTTAGCCATGTTATGGGATTGAATAGGTTTGTCTGGTTGATAGTGGCATGGAAGAAACTTTTTTATTTGCTTTTATGAAATGAACTTTATCCCGAACTGAGCAATAACTGATGTATATCTGCTACATATCGGCAAACTTGCAAATATTTGCCAATCCATCCGATCATCTTCATTTCTTCAATACTGAATATTACACACGCGTACACACACATACAGATTGGCTGCTTTACTATTCCAAATCTTTCTGTAAGCCTCTTGACAGCAAACTATATTGATTTACAGAATAAGTCACAGGCTAATTTAAACAACAACATGTTTTCTTAAAAGACCACTATTACTGTCAGAATATACAAGTAGCATTTTCTCACAACAGTGGTGGCACCGTAATTATATTGTCAAGGCTTAAAGCTAAAAGACAGCTCAGCAAAGAGGTGAGACTAAAGCTGAATTTGTCTCCTCTATTGTAATTCTTTTTAATTCTTATTAAAATGAGGAATGATATCACTTGAAGTTTGAACTTACCTTCACCGCCACCACCCCACACCAAATCCATTTTTTTCCATAAACAACAGGATCAGAAATTAGGAGGAAAGAATAAAGCAACAAGTTAGTCAATCTCCACCTGAGTGGCAGTGGTGGCACTTTGATAGGTCAGATCATTAGAGACTAAAACAAAAGATTCATAATGCCCCCATGCTTTTTCCAGCACTATCAATTGACCTGTACAGACACGCAAGGGTCTAACATTGGGAAGGGACTGATGACCTCCAGAGTCCCATTGTCTGTCACAGGGGTTATACTTGCAAATTTAAAGTATAAATTAGACAAGTGATATGACAAGTCAGTCAACAATTATAGGGCATGAGCAAGTCTGGTCAAGGCATGAGGAGAGAATTGATAAGGTAAAAAGAAAGAATCCACCAACTTTCTATTTCTATTCTTACATTCCTCGAGCCAGGTCACTCAAAGATCAATTGTGGTAACGTTAAGTCACAAATCCAACTATCAAAAACATCTCAGTGGATAGCCTGACCACAATATCCTTTATCATTAAGTTGATTGTGAAACTGAATCATGGGTTGAATATATTTATGTGGTGTACTGTTCCAAATCATACACACCATTTTATATTATTTTATTCTCACTGCTTTCCAGACTATGACCAAGAATGTTCAGCCATAGGAAGACTGATTCCTGAACAATTAGAATTCTATTGATCCGAACTTCTACTTCATGATCAATTTAGGTTATTTTCATATATACTTGAATCAAAAAGTCCTTATTCATAAAAATCTATGCCTGAAAATACAGTGAGGTTTATCAAAGTAAGACACTAATGATCCATGAGAAAATGGCACTTATACACATTCTATTAAACCATGAGGGTGCTAGGAAGGCTTGACTTTTTAACCACACCAAATATTATTTGCTTCCAGCTTTCTTCTACAATAAAGCGGCCACGCAAGTAGATAGCGTGGTAAAGAAGGCGTATGGCATGCTTGCCTTTATTGGTCAGGGAACTGAGTGCAAGAGTCAGGATGTCATGTTGCAGTTTTAAGACTTTGGTGAGGCCACTTTAAAGTATTGTGTTCAATTCTGATTGCCACATTACCAGGAAGGTTTTGGAGGCTTTGGAGAGGGTGAAAAAGAGGTTTACCAGGATGCTCCCTGAATTAGACAGTATGAACTATAAAGAGAAACTAGAAAAACTTGGTTTTGTTTTCTCTGGAGAGGGCAGGCTTAGGGGAAACTTGATAGAGGTCTATAAAATTATGAGATACATAGAAAGGGTTGACGGTCCGAATCTTTTTCCCGGCGTTGAAATGTCTAATACAAGGGGATGTAATATATGGAAATTATGCTTTAACTGTGGAATATTGTCAGGCCTGTCATATTTAAGTAAAGCTATTTCATAGGCACATAGGTCACTTTATGATGCAACCATGATGCGTGTCACCTTGAGCAATGTTATTTTGTTTATCATTCAATAAGGCAAAAATAATTCCAAAACTGAACCTAAATCTCTCATGAGTCTTATCAACCAACAGAAAGTGGCAAGCTTTTTTTAAAAAAAAATTTATTACTTCAGACTCACGTTTGTAATTGCAGTGGTTAATAAACTGCGTTTTCTATAGGTCTGCTGCCATATTGGATATCCTACAATACACCCACACTGGGAGTTTTCTGTAAAAAATAAAAGTATTAACTCCTACCAAAATTTTAGAATATAAGTAATAGGTTATTTGAGTTAATATATTTTACAGCACAGACCTTAATGATATATTCATATTCCAGAACTCAAACACTGAATGTTGCTGTTTTTCATCAGAGTTTGGTTGATTGTTCAGGAATGGTACATCATCAAGCATGGTTCATATTTGATGTGAGTCGCAATTAACTCATCCTTGTTAAATTAAGAGGTGCAAAACTATTTAAGACATGTTGATCACAGTTACAATATTTTGCTTGATGTTCATATGGCTGGAAATGGACCAGATTGGAAATGATGTTAAATGAATGTTTCAACAAAATCTTTGAATTCAACTCTGCAGTGAAGTCAGCTTTGAAACTGTTGATACTCCGTTATTAAGATAGTCAATGTACGCATTCCAAACACACGCCACAAATTTCAATTTCGGATAGCTCAAGGAGACAGAGATAATAACATTAAATTTAAATAAAAATTAAAACATTAATTTAAAATTAAAATAAATTAAACTTTGAGTAAAGTATGTGTGGAATCTAACAGTATATTTGTAGCTTTGATAAAGCTTGGGTCAACTGTTTGGTTCTTAATAGCAGATGGATGATGAACTGAAACAAAGGTGAAAAAATAACAGGTTTGAGACAGAGTTAACACTTTCCCAAGTGTTAGTTTAGTATGTCACTGTTCCACAAATGGGGACAGGCGTCAGAAACAATGCCAGCAGCTGTGGCTAGTTTCCAGAATGACACCACCATCCGACTACATTGGTATGAAATCAGTTTTGATAAAATGGCACTCTGAAGGCAGCACAATGTCACCAGCAGCTCGTGAAAGCTCATTTGGTCTGAAATTATTCCATTCAAAAAGAAAAATGTTTTCAGGTAAAGTGCATTGAAAACCTAAAGCAACACGCAGTTTTAAATATTAAAGATAAATAATGACAGAGTAGAATTGTACACATATGTTTATGTATTTTAAGGCAATGTAAGCAAATGAGGCATGGTAATGAACATACATACACATCCCAAATCCACTATTACACTATGGTAAACCAGTTTTTTTTTCTCCTTGGTATGGTGTATTTATTAAGCGACCTAAATTTAAGCCATTATTAAATGCATTTAACCTCATTGACAGGCTTTTAAAGGCAAAACATATTTGTGAATGTACACATATGTATCCAGTCCAGACAATTTGTCACTAATTTTGCAGGCAAACTGTTCCATCTTAACGTCAACCGCAGTTAAGGTGTCTTCCTTTCATTTAAAATTTTCCACTTTATGTCCATTCTCATTTGTGCAGATCAGATAAGATGTTGTAAACTTTCCTTTCCCTCCAGAGGTTTTTAAAGCGGTTCAAATAAACCAAACAATTCACATCCACTGAGAGTATTTGTATCATACGACCAGATATAGTCCAGATTAATACTTGGGACAAATGATCCACAATTTTTAAATGATCCTCAAAAACAACACATAGGACAATTGGTTTATAATCAAGAAAATTATGCATGTAGATTCAAAGATATTTTGTTGGGATTTACAGAGGGAAAACCAAGAAGCCAGAAAATGTTGAATATTGCCATCCACCAACCAGGTTACCTTTCTCCAGTTTCAGGTATGCTTTGTCTTCTTTATCTAAATACAGCAGGACTCCATTAGTGGCAGCTTCACGAGTCACATCCTTGTCCCCAGCAAAAGCAGAAATTACTGGTTTACCATTAAGCATAAGATTGACCTATGATTAAAAAAAGAAACATCTGTTATATTGAAAATTGCAATAGCAGTTATTATTACAAGCAAAACTCAGCCAAATGGTATGACAAGTTGCTGTAAGGAACCATTCATGCTACAGTTCACCAGATCAAGAGGCTAAGCTCCACCTGAGCTGGATCCCATTCCAAACCCAAAGCAAACAACATGCATTTTACAGTAGGGCTTGTCAAACATGTGTTAATATTTATACTAAATGCTTTTCTTTCCAAAGGATCCTTAACAAAACAATTTTAATTTTTTTTTGCTTTGGTGTTTATCAGGAATAGACTTACTTTAATTTGTTTTCTCCCTCAGAGTGGCCTGGAGGTTTTGGGGAGTAGCGGGGCTAGCGTGAAGCTGTAATCAGGCAAGAAGGTAAGAGGTGTAGAGACTATGGCCTTCCAGACCCTCTCCAGTTAACCATCTTTTATCCATTTATGGGATGAGGCCAGCATTTTTGCCCATCCTTAATTGCCCAGAGGGCAGTTATGAGTCAACCACATTGCTGTGGGCCTGGAGTCACATGTAGGCCAGACCAGTAAGGATGGCAGTCTCCTTCCCTAAAGGACATTAGTGAACCAGATGGGATTTTCCCTTGACACTTGATTCACAATCATCATTAGATTCTGAATTTCAGATTTTTATCACATTCAAATTCCACCATCTGCCATGGCAGCATTCAAACCTGGATCCCCAGAACGTAACCTGGGTCTCTGGATTAACAATCCAGTGATAATACCACTAGGCCATCACCTCTTGTGGCTTGAATTGAAGACAAGAAAGGGTGAGGGTTCGTCTTCTCACCCCTAGGCCAATTGCGACTCTTAAGTCACAAATGAATGGCCACTTGACCTTCTTCTCTGATTATTGGTATCCTACCAATGGTGGGTTGGGGGATAGAGGTGGAGGGAGAGTGGTGTTGGCCCTGCAGGAATCCTCCATGCCCACCTAAGCCACAAATTCTCTTTCTTAGGGCTCCGCTGACCAGCCTAAGTGAGCCTGCCCAACTCATTTCTCTTCCAGAGACTGCTTCTGGTCATTGATGCACTTCTGCAGTCTCAGTAATGGCCACTGCTCCCCTTGTGAAGCTGGGACTCAAGATCTGCTGACTCACCGATTGGCTAGTAGTTTTGACAGGCAAGCTCTTTTCATTCAAAGGCATCGGAACCGCAATGGAAGGCAATAGATTCCCTGATAACCTTTAATCCTGTCAAGAATTGGCAGTGGGGTGTTGCAAACTGCTTTTGGCACAGTAGACAACAGACAGCACAGTTGACAGGGACACTGCTACGTTCATTAAATTTAGACCCAGGTCATTGCAAAATGCTATATTTAAGCAAATTCTTGACAGCATTTTATGATTAAATGGTAATTTAATAATTCCTTTTGCCCTTTGATTTCCAGTTGCTAAGGATATTTCTCATTGTTAAATGAATGCTAATGAACGATAATAGCAGTTTAAACCTGACCATTTTTCGACAAGAGGGAGCCACGGTACTTCTGGCTAATGTGATTTGTTAATACAAGGTCAAAACCTTATCAAATTATGGGATCATACAGTGATGTTCTCTTTGTGAGTTTCCTCTGAGAAGCACAAACTGAAGAATGTTAGCTGCTCAAGGATGTTATTGATTGCTCTATTTCTGCCTGTTCCATTGGCTTGATCTACAAGAGGTTCAGATATAACAGTAACATAAAATCTACCTTGAACCAATTTTATTCAAGTAGTTCTGAATAATGATACCGCCCATTCCATCTAGTACAAGTAGAACAGTGGCATCTACTCAGCAATATGGAAAATTATCCAAGTGAATCAATTCTCTAAAAAGCAAGACAAATTAAACCCAGCCAATTATTGGACCACCAGGCTATTTGCAATCATCAGCAATGTTATATATGAGATTATCAACAGTGCTTTCAAATGGCAACTATTTAGCAGCTCAGTTTGTGTTCTGTGAGGGTCATTCAGCTTCTGACCTCGTTACAACCTTGGCCCAAACATGGATAAAAAAGCTGAACTCAAGAGGTGGTGAGAGTAATTGAGTGTTGCATCAAGGATGCCTAGTAAAAATGAAGTCAGTGAAAATCAAGGGGAGAACTCTTCACTGCTGGAGCCATGCCTATTCCGAACAAGATGGTTGTAGCTGTTAGAGATCAACCACCTCTGATCTAGGACATTTCTGCATGAGTTCCTTAGGATAGTGTCCTAGGTCAAACCAACTCCAGCTGCTTCACTAATGATTATCCTTCCATCACAACATCAGAAATGGGGATGTTCACTAACAGTTGTGCATTTTTCAGAATCTTTAATGAATCATCAGACACTGGAGCAGTTCATTTGTCAGCCCAAGGCCTGACAGTGAGAAGTAACATTTGCACACAAGTGCCAAGCAATGACCACCTTCAACAACAAAGAATCCAAGCATCTCCCATTGATATTCAATGGCTCCTCCATACTGAATCCTTCACTATCAAGATCCTAGGGTTTTCCATTGACCAGAAACTGAACTGTTTGAACGATATAAGTACCATGGCCAAAACAACAGATCAGAGGTTGGGAGCTCGGTGGAGAGTAACTCATATTGTCACATGCCAAAGCTGCCCATCAGTCTCAAAGGCAAGTCAGGAGTGTGATGGAATATTCAACACTTGCCAGGAAGCATGCAGCCTCAATAATACTTAAAATGCTTGCTATGATCCAAGATAAAGCAACCAATTTGATTTGTGATAACAAGGTGTAGAGCTGGATGAACACAGCAGGCCAAGCAGCATCAGAGGAGCAGGAAAGCTGACCTTTTGGGTCGAGACCCTTCTTTAGAAAATGGAATATCATTCAAAAATCATTCAAAAAAATCATTTTCTGAAGAAGAGTCTTGACCCAAAACATCAGCTTTCCTGCTCCTCTGATGCTGCTTGGCCTGCTGTGTTCATCCAGCTTTACACCTTCACCAACAACAACAAAAACAAAGTTGCTGGAAAAGCTCAGCAGGTCTGGCAGCATCTGTGGAGGAGAAAACAGAGTAAACGTTTCGGGTCCAGTGACCCTTCCTCAGAACTTTACAGCTTTACACCTTGTTATCTCAGATTCTCCAACATCGGCAGTTCCTACTATCTCTGTAACAATTTGATTTGTGCCTCATACACCACATTCAACATTCATTATCTCCACAACTGGCTGTCAGTGGTAGCAGCGTGTACCATCTACAAGATGCACTGTAGCAATGAACCAAGGCTCCTTCAGTATCATTTCCAAATCTACCTCAAACATCTAGAAGGAGAAATATAGTGGATGCATAGGAATGCCAACACCTGCGCATTCTCCTCCAAGTCACACATCATCCTGACTTAGAACTTTATCACCATTCCATCACTACTACTGGGTTAAAATATTGGAATTCCCATCCTAACAGCACAATAGAGGTACCTATACTACATGGACTGTGGTAGTTCAAGGAGACAGCTCATCATCACCTTCTTAAAGGCCATTTGGGATGGCCTAGTCAGTGACATTCAATTCCCTTGAAACAATAACTAATACATCCCTTAGAGAGGGAACAAAGATGATTTCATGGGTAGAACTTTGTGGACTTCATTCCTAACCCAAATGGTGGGAGACGTTTTACATGAGGGAAGATTTTTAACTAAAGGAACGATGAAATTAGTTAGAGGGACACATCAACAGTACCCACGGTAATGGAGAGCAGGTCCAAGAAGGCTGTTTCCCAGGTCTCTCACTCTTTCCTGAAAATCCTGCTGTGAATTCTGTGTGACCTAAGTGAACTCTGCCAGGAATGGGAAGACGAGCACAGTCTCCTGAACCAAACAGGCAAGGATGTAAATGACTGAAGAAGTCAGTAGCAAGAATGTGGTCCCTCCAAACTAGAGACTGTGACCCAAGAGGATTCAGAGAACCTAATGCGAACATGGAAGGTGAGTGGCTGAACACATACATGTACCAAGACTGATTTCCCCATCATTCTTCAGCAAAGCAGCACTCTAACATACTTTGTATTTCTAATCATTCCTCTCTGTGCGTGCCTATCTGAGCAACCAAAAGTCACACCTACTGTCACCTAATAGTCTCTTGTGCACATCCTCAACATCACTCTCCACAGTAGTGTCTTTTTCTCCTCTCCACAAAAGTCATTATGAAGGCTTACACTTCTGCTTTCTCTGTTTGCATGAGAAATGACCACTTAGCCTGGAAATAGCTAGACATCTGGGGAGAGAAGTTGGCCCTCCAATGTCAAAAATCTTATTGCCATTCTCCGTTCATGTTCATTTGTGTCACTGAGAAAGAAGCCCAGTTCCAGGGCTGCAGGTGTAAACAACAACCTGTCATGAAAGCCTGAGCTTCTTGAGCTGGGACAGGTCGAGAGAGTTGACCCCTGGACTCTGTGTTGGAAGACTCACCTCTTTGCCAACCGAACCTTAGTGTCCATCCCCTCTCTTCCATGGATTGGAATGCACTGGGGGACTGAAGACAGCTTGGTGTTGTCTCTGTCGTTGCTGGAGCTCATGGTGTTGATATAACCTCTCCTTTGCCCATCACCACAGCAAGACTGTAAAGACTGGCAGCAGGAAGTGCAACTGCAGGGGAGTGAAGTGAAGTGAAGGTAAAGACAGGGAAGAAGTTGCTAATCACCTGTGAAGCCATCCCTGAAGGAAGAAGTGCTTCCTGGAAAACTGCTCTCCATACCCAATGACTTGGGGCACCATGGTGGCTCAGTGGTTAGCACTGCTACCTCACAGCATCAAGGACCTGGGTTCGATTCCAGCCTTGGGTGACCATGCAAACTCAACACTGATATTCTCCCCATGTCTGTGTGCATTTCCTCCAGGTGCTCCAGTTGTAGGTTATTTGGATCAGCGAAACTAAATTGTCCATAGTGTCCAGGGATGTGCAGGTTATGTGGATTAGCTATGGGAACACACAGGGCTACAGGTATAGAGTAGGGGGTGGGTCTGGGTGATATGCTCTTT